AAAAAAAAAAAAAAAACCTATCCCAAGCCAAACAAAACCCCCCTAGGCAAACAAAACCTCCTTTTTCTTCCTGATCTCTGTTTCGGCTCTCACAATTTCAATCATCTTCACAATGCCCCAAGCTGCCCAGTCTGTTTTTGGGTCAATTCTTGCCATTTGGTCACTAAAAAAGGTAAGTTAGGCAAGGTTCCAACCTATTTGTATATTTTTCTCCCATTTCTTAATTTACTGACTCTTTTTTTGGCTTAAAAACCCCAATCGACATCGTCATTTTACTCCTCACCAATCAAATTATTCCTAGCATAAATAAGATCAAAGCTTGCTCCTTACTTTGATTTTCAAGTAATCTTATTCAATTCTCTAGTACTTTTAGCTTTTTTGTTTGTTGGATTTGATCTTAAGATGGATTTTGGTTTTGTTTTGGCCATGTAGATTGGTTTCATTAGTTTTGTTAGTTTTGTTAGTTTTGTTTGTAACTTTCTACATATTCTCTATGAGTTTTCCTTTACATAGTTGGGATTTGTTTGTTGGAATTGATCTTAAGATGGGTTGTGTTTTTTCGCCATACATATTGGATTTGTTGGTTTTGTTTTGTTAATTTTATCTGTGACTTTTGACTTCATTTATATGAGTTTTCTTCATTGGAGTTGGCATATAACTTTTGTTTTGATTAATAGTGTTTTGGTATTGATGAAAAGTATTCTTAAAAATTATTGAATTAGTACCACATGATCCACTAGTTCATAAAGAGGAATAAAGAAATAAATAATTTTAAAGATTTATTAATAAAAAAAAAAGACAGTACAAAATGAAGAAACATAAAAGCAAAGACAAGATTTCCCCTCATCTTACATATAGTTGTGTTTGGGTTGTATGTGTGCTATATGTTTTTTTCTTATATTTTTATTTTTCGAAAAAGGAGATATAATGAAATTAAATTACATAAATTATAAATTATTTTCATTGCCATTTACTTTAAAGACTACAATATGCCATTTTTATGTAAATATATCTCTACTGTTAAGTTTAAAATTTATGCAATAGGACTATTGCATGTTCATCCTTTTTCTTTTTTTTTTTCACCATTGTCATTTCTTATTTTGATGGTTAATTGGATTTGCATTAACTGGTGAAAATTAGAAGTTAATTTTCAATATATTTTGTAAAATTCTTATCCAAGTTTAAATAATTAGTGCATTTTACCTTACTTAGTGTTTTAAGATATTTTGATGAAAAAAAGTTGTCATTTTGTTGTTTTCAATCCAAACTTTCATGCACTCTTATGATCCAAATCTATAATACCAATAAAATGTTTTCTTTTATACTCAAATCTATTAACCATGTTTCTATATTAGAGATGAGATTATCATTTTGTTCTTGATAGCTGTGAAACTGAAAGAAATTATAAGGGTAATAATATAATTACATTATTTATTCTTTTTTTTGTTATTATTATATGGGACTTTATATGATGAATATATCAATAGGTACTAGCATTTTTATTTGAAAACAACTAAAGATATTTTATCTTATGTGTATTTATTGTCTCTAGAATTATTATTTGAATACAATGCATTCAAGTAGCCATATTTGGTAGTATATCATGTTAGAAAACACTTGTTGTGATATATAATTGCAATATAAGTATATTGTG